TCTCTTCTCTCTGTCGTTTCTCTATCAATCCCTCCCACTCTCTCTCTCCCTCTCTCTCTCTCTTTCTCTCTGGTTCTCTCTCTCTCCGCCTGTCTCCACTCCTTCACCCTCTCCCAAACACATTATGAAGTGAACAATCTCAAACACTCATCAAACACCACACTCCACCCATCCTGCTGGGCCACTGCGAATACCATTGCCCACAACCCGTCACAGCAGAGAGGAGTCTGGTACGCAATATGGCGGCAAAGGGAGACGGAAACAGAATGCAAGAACTTCCGCCCTCACGGCGCGCACCCTGGCGGGCAAGGGGGTATAACCAGGTACGACCTGTCATTCCGCGTTGCCTCTCGTGCCGTGATCTTGTAAGCAATCTAGCTCGAAGAGCTGATGAACTCACCGATAGAACAGCCACATTGCCAGCGGGTTTTCGAGGGGGGAAAATAAAAGATGTCTAATATTTACGTTGCCTTTTTTCCAGAGAAAAGAGAGACGATTTGTCTATAGATCAAAAGCCGGGATAACAACGCTTATGGAACACGATACCGAATTACTGGTAGGGGTGGTTACGCGAAGACAATTCCATGTTTTTTTGCTTGTATGTGTGTGTGTGTGTGTGTGTGTGTGTGTGTGTGTGTGTGTGTGTATGTGTTAGTGTGTGTGTGCGTTTGTGTCTGTGTTGGTTTGTGTGCGTTTGTCTGTGTTTTTGAGGGGGCTTGTTCGTGCTTGTGTGTGTGTGTGTGTGTGTGTGTGTGTGTGTGTGTGTGTGTGTGTGTGTGTGTGTGTGTGTGTGTGTGAATGTGTGACGACGTGGTGGAATCAGGTCCTTTCAATTTTTGGGCATTTGGAGTTATTGGTATCATCTTAATCAACCTTCTTCAATTGTCTTGCTATCAATGAAAAAAATGCCCATCTAATTTGTTTAGAAGTTCAGATATTTGAGATTGAAGAAGGTGAGATTGTCTGGTTTCAAAGGTAGAATTAGCGAGAAAATGCTTGGATATTTCCAGAGGTTAATAGTCTGTGGAAACTTTTAAAAACTTACATGTTTTGTGCCTTTAATCAACGTTTTTCAGTTTTTAAAAAAACCACCGAAAAATGTGTTCGTAATTGGACAGCAGTGGTGTTAAGCCAACAAAAAAAAATTGGCAGAAAAATGTCAGATTACAATAAACAAGGAAAGCGTATCAGAGAGAAAGAAAGAGAGAGAAACACGAAGATAGACAAACGCGAAGAGACACTCTCTCACAGAGAGAGAGAGAGAGAGATAGATAGACAGACAGGCAGAGAGAGAGAGAGAGAGAGAGAGAGAGAGAGAGAGAGAGAGAGAGAGAGAGAGGTAGATAGATAGATAGA